AAATCATCACCGACGTCAGACCTGTTTGCATGCCCAGCAATCAACATACCTAAAAATGGCCAAAGACTGCCTTGCTTAAGTGGCTTGGGAGCAAACAGCCACAATGGTATATGGACATAAAGAGGTGATAAAGAATGCTATAGCTGAGCTCCGGAAACACAACGCGACAGATAATGCAGGACTCAGAGGAGCAGGAGAGGTGAGGCTCTGTCTTGATGGATTGAGAGTCGGACACAACAAGGGGAAGAAAGCTAGCACACATGAAAAGGAAGCTTAAGAGCCAGTTTGGTGTAGTGATTAGGAGCAGGACTCTAACCTGGGAGAACTGGGTTTGATTCCCCACTCCTCCATATGCAGCCGCTGGTGTGGCCTTGGGTCAGTTACAAGTTCTTTCAGAGCTGTTCTCTCACGAGCAGTTCTCGAAAGAGCTCTCTCAGCCCCACCTACCTCACAGGGTATCTGTTGTGAGGAGGGGAAGGGAAAGGAGATTGTAAACCACTCTGAGTGAAGGGCGGGGTATAAATCCAATCTCGTTCTCCTCCTCTTCTTCTGTCGCACTTGCTCACCCGCTCAGCAGCGACTCATATGTACAGTTACATTTTCGCAAATGTTCCCAACATTCGGTGAACATTTCATTAGTATTTACTAATCATAACATTTTCCTCACTGCTGCAGCTCCACCCCCCTTCCTTTTCATTTGCTTCTGCCATACAACTTTGTAAGACCTTAACAGATGAGGAAAAGAATAGTATAAAAAAATTATTCTTGAGCTGACTGAAAGAGATGCGGGGGAAAGAAGACTGCGGAGGAATGGGAATAACCTTCCGTTTGGGGACAAGAGAGCTAGGTGGAAAAGAATGTTGCGACTGGGTATCAATTTTGTTTTGATGAAAGTGGTCTTCGCAGAGCTGTCAGAACAGTACAGAAAAACACAGTCATACACCCCAGAGAGCACAAAGTTCTTCCTAAGGCCTTATGCAGCAGCTTTAGTGCGAGAGGCAGCGGGAAGGGAAAGGACGACAGGGGAAAAATGCTTTTTCAGTACCCCATCTCAACTCACAAATGCACACCGTCTCCACTTCTGGAAGGGTCAGGCCCTGTCTAGTCCCTAGCCTTATAATGAAAAGCTAATAAAAGAGGCTACTAGTAGCAATTTCACAAGGCAACTTGGTCAGAAGGATAACCCAATTTGTAAATGACTGGCATCAATCAAAGGGAAAGCCAGTATGCAGTGAGCGAATGCTCGTGTAGTCCAGGAGAAGGCAGAAATAATATAGCATGAAAACTCAATAAAGAAGTCTCGAAGGTAAAGGCTGCCTTCACAGTCAGTCGTGGGAGCTAGTGGGGTAGAGGTGGTTAAAATGCTGAATTTGGTGAGACTGCGGATCTCACATCACTTTCCTCACATGATTGTGTAGGCAAAAATTCACATGACGGCTGCAATCTTGGCCATTTTCTTTTGTGATCCTAATGTCTGCTGATATTTGAAAAGGACCCAGAATTCAGGAAAAGGCTGGGGAGTATTCAAATGCTGGTTCTACCAGAGCATATCTTCCATGTGTGTGGAAGCAGACAGATTAAATTGAAGGGAGAACGGGAAGGGGAAAGGAAGCAGGGAGGAAATGGAAAACGTTCCATGACATATTGAATGTATACCCAAGGGTTGATAGTGCCACAAAGCAATAAAATGCACAGGACAGGATGGATGGGACTGGAGGTGTAAATATGGCTTTGTGTAGAGCAGTGATTTTGGAGAGCAGAACGTAGAGCTTAAAACTCCAGAGGCAAAGATGGAATGGAGCTGTAATAAATGACAGTGTCTTCAGTAGCTTTTAGAGATCCGAAGATGCACTTTTAATGTGAACTTTGTCAGTATCTAAATAGCCAAGGACACTGGAGCGTGACCTGTAGCAAAATAAAGACCCGGGGACAAATTCTATGAACTAGAAGCAAATCTATTGCAAATCTGGATGGATGGAACGAAATGCCTTTCACATTACTTAGGGGCTGTCACTGTATCCCACTCACTGAATGAAGCCAGCTTGCTAGAGCATGGCAATACGTTTTCACCATGGCACTGTCGTATGGCGATCAGCAGCTCATCATGTGGTACAGCCCAAATATGAGCAAACCTTTTGCGCCATCATGCCAGCAAAGTGTGCAGCTGTTATGGTAGCTTCATGTGATCCTCAAGACCTGGAGCTGATTCTGGTGTGAAGAGGTCATTGTCGTCTGTTACATACATAACACGATTCTTGTGTTCCCCTGAACTATCTCTGGTCAAACGGGTTCTGCACACTCCAATTAACAGATAAGGGCTTGCACCCACACATGTTTTCTGTTAGTTTTTTTAAAAAGCCCTCTTTGACCACCTCTTTGGCTATGCTGGGGATCATGGAACCTGCGTAGAACTGAGAGCCAGCCTGGTGTAGTGGTTAAAATGTTGGATCTGGGAAATCCAGGTTCGAATCCCTAATTGTACCATGGAAGCTTGTTGGATGACCTTGGGCCACCCACACACTTTCAGCCTAACATATCTCGCAAGGTTGTTGTGAGGATATACTAGAGGAGAGAAGAATGATGTAAGCCAGTTTGGGTTCCCATTGGGGTGAAAGGCGGGATACAAATCAAGTAAATAATAAAATACAAATAAAAAAGGGTTCAGTAAAAAGGGGAATTGAGTAACACTGAATTTAAAAAGCTGGCTGGATCCAACCCACTGCATTTATATTACTGTCATTACATATTTGTACCCTGCTTTTTACAAAAGTGCTCAAAGCAGCTTAGCATACATGTTCACAATAAAAACCACAACTTCTGAAATATAATGGGGACATTCCAACTAGTAGAAGAACTAAACTAATGAAGTCAGGAAGGTTCCCACAAGAATATCACTCTGTACAATGTGTAAAATAGAACTTCTCAGGATGGAATTTCTAGGAATGGGCTACTCTTGGGATTTTTAATGTTTGTTGAAAGTTTGTCATCCAAGTGTGCCAAAGGTCTCCATGCACTTTCCTGTGGCTTTGTGGGCCAGCCATGAGGCAGTGGCAAAATTAGAGCTCAAGGAGCCCCTTCATGCCCACCATCAGGCTAGGTGGCTGCAAAAATGTCAGCGGTGTGGGAAAAGCTTTCCCCCCATACCATATGGCCTGGCAGAACAGTGTTGGATGGCCACGTCAGCAGTGAAATGGGAGAAGCAGCTGGGGAAGGTGGGCAGGGTGAGCAAAGGCAAACTCACCTGCCAGGGGTACCAGGTGGGGGGAGTAGGGAGAGGCTGGACAGCTGGACAGGGTGACATGGCCATCATGAAGGGTTGCCAACTCTGGGCTGGGAAATTTGTGGAGATTTTTTGGGGGGGAGCCTAGGAAGGGCGGCATTTTGGAGGGGAGGGACCTCAGCAGGGTATAATGCCATACAGGCCACCCTCCAAAGCAGCCATGTTCTCCAGGGGAACTGATCTCTATCATATGGAGACCAGTTGTAAATGTGGGAGATCTCCAGGCCCCACCTGGAAGTTGGCAACTCTACATCACAGGCAAAGCGGGGTGGGCCTGGAGACAGCTGCAGGCAGGAGATGGTGACTTCCTGGCAGCAACACCAGCCGGCAGGAGGTTCTGATTGGCCGGGCCTATGAGAGAGCGAATCCTATTGGCCCAGAAACTGGGAATAAGCCAGGCCTCACCCTTAGCTGAAGGGTATTGGCAGAGCCTGGTGTGGCCCTGACCAGGCCTTTATTGGGCAAAACCCAAGGCAGTCTGGCCTGGCCACACCTAAGCAAGCAGATCCTCAACCAAGGTTAAGCCCTTCCCTTCCCTTCGCTGAGATGAGTGTGGGGTGTGCTAAAGAAAGGAGGATGCTGGAGGGTGCACCCACCCTGGACCCAAAGTCTGACAACTGTAAATTATTTTTGTTGGACCTATGGTTGATTTTTATTTTTCATAATTCACGTTGAGTTTTTGGTGAGAAAAGCTGACTATAAAGAAGGTAATCAATAACTACATTAAATCGCAACATAAAACCAAAGTAAAAAATAAAACTCATAATTAAAATGACCAAAACAAACATTAAAAACATCAGGAGAATAAATATCAACCAGAGCAGAAATCAATGAAGGCAGAAGAAAACCCAGCTCTCTTTGCTGGTGGCTAAATACAAGCAACAAAGATGCTCAGTGGATCTCCTTGAAGAGAGTGTTACAAATGCAGCATCATTACAAGAAGAGGTCATAAGAACTTAAGAGAAGCCCATGTTGGATCAGGCCTATGGCCAATCCAGTCTAACACTGTGTCACACAGTGGCCAAAACCCAGATGCCATCAGGAGAGCCACCAGTGGGGTCCGAACTCCAGAAGCCCTCCCACTGTTGCCCCCCAAGCACCAAGAATACAGAGCATCACTGCCCCAGACACAGTGTTTTATCTATACCTTGTGGCTAACAGCCACTGATGGACCTCTGCTTCATATGTCTATCTAATCCTCTCTTGAAGTTATCTATGCTTGTAGTCGCCACCACTTCCTGCGGCAGCGAATTCCACATGTTAATTACTCTTTGGGCAAAGAAGGACTTCCTTTTATCTGTTCTAAGGTCCTGTCTTGGCCACCACTTACCTCAGTTCTAAAGAGGGGAACCCAGACAAGGGCCTATAGTGAAGATCTTAATGAACAGCACAGCGCAGCATAGATGCTGATGGCTTTCAGTGTAATCCTAAACAGAGTCACAAAGCCCATTAAGTTCAATGGACACAGAGGGGTATCACTCTGTATAGGATTGCACTGCATTGCATATTGCCTTTCGTGAGGACAAAATCATCTGTCTTCTTCTGCTGTAAAAAAAAAGCTAAGTAAAAAAAAGAAATGCACTTCCCTTTGCAGAACGTGAAATAATTGCAAAGGTGCTCTTTGCTCCATTTTGAAAAGTTCCTTTCTCCTTTTCTCCTCCCCTCTCTTTCCCTGTTTCTTTTAACTGGGTGAGTGATTGCATTAATTTCTTTCTTTTACCTTTTAGAAAAGCCAGCAAGTCTCTGCCCTTATCTTCATTGATTTTGCCTTCCAGAGAGGAGAGTGTCTTGCTCACATCACTCATGACGACCGAAATGTTGTCAACCTTCTTCTGTAGCAAAGTCAGTTTCATCTCTTGGCTGCTAATCTGCTCATTCATTTTTTGTGCAATTGCTACGCACGGGAGTGGGGGGAGAGAATGGAACAAAAGAAGAAGAAAGTCAGCAAATTAAATCACAAAGGGAAAAGCAAAAAAAACAAAACCCAGAAACAAATTCAACAAATGGCTGCTAGAAATGGAGCTAAAAAGTTTCTGGGCTTATTAACAGGAATGAACGAGCTTGATTTTTGTCATGTGTCTTGACTTATGAGTGACAACCATATAAGCACAGCAGCAAATAATTGCTGAATGATCCATATTCATTAGAGAGTAGTTATAATTCCAGGAGAGTATATTGAATAGTTAGCAGAAATTAATGAGGACGAGAGAAGCCTCCCCCCTATCTAGTAGTCACCTACGGAGGATTCAGTTTTACCATTTAAATGAATTCATTATACTCCTATCCGCAGCTGAAAAATTCATTTAGGTGTCAGAGTGCCAATGATAACTGCTTCTGAAACATTTAAAGTGATAACTTAACCCTGCTGATTAGGGATGTGCTCTAGAGATACTGAGTGCCCAGTCTGTACACTTCTCTTTGCCTTCTCTTGTTATGCTTTATTTTGTATTCTCTGGATTCTTTCCCCCAAATGCTAGACTTGAATCCAGTAGCTTCTTAGAGACCAACACGATTTTTGGGTTATAAGCTTTTGAGAGACATTTTGTTGGTCTCTGAGGGGCTACTGGACTCAGATCTAGCCTGTGCTATTGGAGACCAACACAGCTACCCTCAAAAATGTGGTTCTGACAAATTTCAAAGCCATCTTTAGTCCCTGGTCTTAGAAATTTTACTCACTGCATGAAGAGTTTCTTCAGATATTCAAGATATCAGATGACTCCTACCCAGCAAAGCTTGATCAATTCCCTGCATTTGAGTTTTCTTTGGATCTCAGGTGATGCTGTGTAGAACTCTCTTTGCCCTGGGAATTTCCATGGGTGGTGATGGAAAGTGCCGGCAACTTGTAGCTGACTTATGGTGACCTCGTGGGATTTTCAAGGCAAGAGATGTTCAGAGGTGGTTTGCCATTGCCTGCCTCCATGTGCAGTCCCTGGTACTACTGTCCAAATACAAGCCGGGGCCAACCCTGCTTAGCTTTGGAGATCAGACAAGATCAGGCTAGCTTGGGCTATCCAGATCAGGGCAGAATTTTCACTAGCCTTACTAAAACTCGTTTAGCTTCTCCAGAAATTCTGGGAATATTTCATCTCTGCAGAAACTTTGTCTCAAATTTAGCGAATCTACTCTGCACCAACAAGGGTGCTTCTTGTATTATGTTTATAAGTGATAACCCTACATGGACCATTGTTAGTTCTATAATCAATCATAAGGCTTCAGGATGTCATGTAAGAAGTAGCGGCTCCTCCCGTTAACTCCTCCATGTATAACTTCTGCTTTGCCCTGAAGAAGCCCTCCGAATTAGATGGTTGGGAGGCAGGGGGATGTCCTGGTGTGGAACTTCTGAAGAACGGTTCCGTTGAACCATATAAACTGAGGTTGTGTCTATGAAACCTCACTCATATTGGAGCTGGGAATCTTGAAGTAATAAGCCATTGCTGCAGCATAGCAACTCAGAACATCAGGCTACTAGGTGGTAGGAAAATAACGGTTGTATAAATCCAATACAGGAACTCTGCTTTACACCCGGAGGCAGCATCATGCAATGTGAGGACCACAGCAAGTCCTGAAGGACAGCCGGTGTGGAGCAGTGATTAGAATGCTGGACTAGTACCAAGGAGACCTGGTTCAGTCCCCACTCAGCCATATGCTCACTGGATGACCCTGGGCCAGACTCATTTTCTTAGCCTAACCTACCTCTCTGGGTTGTTATGAAGATAAAAAGAGGCGGGGAAGCACCATCCTAAGGAAGGACTTCAAAAAGGACTCTAAAAATGTAATAGATGTAAGTCCACATAACCTACAGGTTTCTGTTTGATTCCTGGAAAGCTCAGCCAGTAACACAATACAGACTGAACAAAATGAAGCATTGCCCAGGGAAAGGTTATATATCACATGGATCTGGCATCTTGGCATCATGGCATACTTCATACCTGCCAGTCCCCTTGGTCTGGAGGGCGGCACCCTCACCAGTGAAGGTCCACAGAACCAACAATGGCATTATGCCTAGAGGGACCTATTCCTAGGTAGCAGTTTTGCCACAACAGTCTAGCTTCTTGCCTTTCTCTGAGCTGAAAGAAATTAGACATCCCTTTGTTTAAGATTATGTATTTCTTGTAAGTGTAATTGTTTACATGTATTAATTAAAACCATTTTGAAAAATATTTAAAATGGTTAATAATGGTGGAAAGTGTCATCAAATGGCAGCTGACTTATGGGAGTCCCATGGGGTTTTCAAGGCAAGAGACAAACAGGTGGTTTGCTATTGCCTGCCTCGCTGTAGCCTTTGGACTTCCTTGGTGGTCCTGACCTGGATAGTCCAGGATAGCCTGATCTCATCAGATCTTGGAAGCTTTTGTTGTTGTTCAGTCGCACAGTCGAGTCCGACTCTTCTCGACCCCATGGACCAGATCATGACACTGTCTAACCATCTCATCCTTTGCCGTCCCCGTCTTCTTTGACCTTCAATCTTTCCCAGCATCAGGGTCTTTTCCAGTGAGTGCTCCCTTCTCATTTGGTGGCCAAAGTATTTGAGCTTCATTTTCATTATCTGGCCTTCCAGGGAACAGTCAGGGTTGATTTCTTTGAGGATTGACTGATTTGTTCTTCTTGCAGTCCAAGGGACTCTCAAGAGTCTTCTCCAGCACCATAGTTCAAAAGAATCTATTCTTCGGTGCTCGGCCTTCCTTATAGTCCAACTCTTGCAGCCATACATGACTACTGGGAATACCATTGCTTTGACCATGCGGACTTTTGTTGGCAGGGTGATGTCTCTACTTTTTATCATGCTGTTTAGGTTCGCCATCGCTTTCCTCCCAAGGAGCAGGCGTCTTTTAATTTCATGGCTGCTGTCACAGTCTGCGGTGATCTGGGATCCCAGGAACGTGAAGTCTGTCACTACTTCCACGACTTCCCCTTCTATTTGCCAAGGAGTGATGGGGCCGGATGCCCTGATCTTAGTTTTTTTGATGTTGAGCTTCAAGCCCACTTTTGCCCGCTTTTTTTTCCCTTGGGAGCTAAGCAGGGCCAACCCTGGCTAGTACTCGGAAGGGTGACCTCCAAGGAACACCAGGGTCATGATGCAGAGGCAGGCAATGACAAAACCACCTCTGAAGCATCTCTTGCCTGGAAAAACAAGTCTAGCAAACCACCTAGTGGTGCATCATGCTAAAGAGCTAGAATTTCTGGCAGCCACACAATCCTAGGATCTCCTGGCTACACGACACACTGCCATATGATAGATAGATAAATAAATAAATAAATAACCAGGGCTATCTCTACTTAGGAGCTGCGGTGGCTCAAGTGGTTAAAACACTGAGCTGCAGGCTGTGGAAGGTCAGTAGTTAAGCAGTTTGAGACCCGAGTTGCCGCATGACGGAGTGAGCTCCCGTCTCTAGTTCCAGCTCCTGCCAACCTAGCAGTTCGAAAGCAAGAAATTGCAAGTAGGTAAATAGGTACCACTTCGGTGGGAAGGTAACAGCGTTCCGTGCGCCTTGGTGTTTAGTCATGCCGGCCACATGACCACGGAAACGTCTTCGGACAGCGCTGGCTCTTCAACTTTGAAACAGAGATGAGCACCGCAATGAGCTTCTGCACCTCTTTTTCTACGAAATGACCCCTGAGAACACCTTCTGGAGATCTTTAAAGGCCTAACCTGATGTGATACTCTCCTAAAGCCATACATCTCCTCCCACCTGTTTTGGCCATCCATCCACTGGTCATCCATCCCCTTACATTACCCACTGTTGTCAACATGACTCGGCAGCAAGTTAGAGAACGTGTGGATTACAAGATCAGGGCAGGAAAGGGTGAGAGGACACACACACACACCCCGCCTCAACTTCTGCTTCCGATTAGAAGGTTTGCAGCCACAGTCCAGGCTGTGGGCGGCCATGGCAATAGGATTACGTGATATGAACAATGCCAGCAACAAATAAGAACGGGCATTAATAATAATTTCATATAGGCCAGTGGAGCACCTGGCCATATTGCTTTCGTAATGAAGTTAGTGAAGGCGGGAAGATTGACCTGGAATATGCCGCTTTCTTCCATCAATCACCGTGGTGTTTGCACAAACCTATAAATAACCTGTTTCACCCCCCTCACTTTTCTGAGCAGACCCAGGAAAGAAACAAGATCGCGGGAGGGTCCCGGTGCTCCATCACATGGCTTTGGGCGGCCAGGGGGATTTCTTTTGTTCTGCCTTTAATAAATAGCGTTGACAATGATTGTGTTACGGAGGAGGGTAATTACAACAGCTGACCTGGGTTGCCGAGGTCCTGCGGCTGCTGATGCGGCAGTTGGTTTCCCAGCGTCCCCCCACTGACAGCGGCGTTGCTTTCAGCCTGGCTGCTGTGTATCAGCAATTGATCCTGCGGGGCTAGAAGAGAGGGGAAGAGAGAAGAATAAAGACCAGTGAAACATTCAGCTTGACTAATTCATTGGATACTCAGCTATCCTTGCGCTGCTGCTCCTTGGTTCCCCACCCTGTACCTCTGACTCAGCAAAATCCTAACCGTTTGCGCTGATTCCGGAGTTAGCTGCTCTGCCCACCTGGACCTCATGCTATGCTACCACATTGGAAGGGGGAGGGGGAGAGCGAATGGTTTTTTTTTTTTTAATTCTTAACTGTTGAGGATTAGAAGTGTCTCCTTCAGGTTGCAATTGATGGTGATATGCCGATGCTTGTGCTAATGCCAGGTTCACCCGCCCTGATCATTAAGAAGCGGTGGAGAGCCATAAAATTAATCCTGGAGTGGAGGCTTCAGGAAAGGGCACGGAGCAAGCCTAGCATAATAAGTGTAGGACGGCCATTGCTCTGATTCAGGGGTCCAGGGGAAACGGTAATCCTAATCCACAGAATGGGTTTCTGTTAGGGATGCTATGGGAGTTTGCCAGGTTTCGATTTGGACTTCAGCTTTGCCCTTTCATAAAACGGAAGTTTCCACGGCATAATTTTGAGACAGTTGCTGAAAATCTGCAACACGTTGGAAAACTTACCTGAGAAACCGGGGGGGGGGAGATTTTCACCAAGGACACTTTCACACACGCTAAATAATGCAGTTTCAGTCCCATTCAGCGACTGTGTGCAAGCGGCTCTTGCCATCTCACACAGTAAAATCCAGTTGCAAAGTGCATTGAAAGCAGATTAAAAGTGTGTTATTTAGTGTGTGAAAGCACAATCTTGTTAAGCATATTTTAATTCATCAGCTGCCTTGGTGGCCCTTGTGAAGGCAGAAAAGGAGGGATATACATGTTGTAAATAAAGTTGCCATCCCCCAAGTTGGGGTGGGTTTTCCTCTGATTTCAAGGGCTCCAATTCACTGCCCCCCACCCCCAAACAGCCCCTCCTGCGTCAATGTCAACGTCATGATGATGTTACCCGATAGTGATATCATCACGTTGCCAACGTCAGGGGGTGACTCTCTAGTTTTTGGGCAAACTTTATAGTTTTGGGGCAAAAAACCATAGAGTTTTGCCCAAAACCTAGAGCATCACCCTGCAATATCAGCAATGTGATGACATCACTTCTGGGTAATGTCATTGTGCTGTTTGTGCTTCACATGCATGGCAGAAGATCCCGGCACCATTTGAGATTGCAGGCACTTGATTCCAGCTTCATCTGATCCTTTTCACAGAAATGGAAAAGTAGAAAACCAGTCCAAAAGGGAGAAATGTTATACCCCTTCACTTCATTTGCTGGGTTGACATTTTATTCGTAGACAGCTTTCAGTAATTTCGGAATATGAGTCTGCGTTCTCCTCCATCTGTAGTAGAAGAGGTGCAGACCATTATATCAAAACACTTCTCTGCCACTTCATTCCCCTGCATGTGTGAACTAGCCCTTGCATGGAGAGAAAGCCTACTGAACACACAGTTTGGACTTCTTTACGTGTATGGGTTAGGCAGCACAAAAATGATTCCCCTCCTTGGCCCAAGGATTTATGTGGTGTATGTAGTTAAACTACATAGTTCAACTATATAGAACTGTCTTATAAATTCTGACTGGCTGTAATAGCTAGTGATCATACCACACTCTGTAATGGCAAAGGGTTCAAACTGCATACTTCTGTAGTTCAGCTAGGGTTGCCAACTCCAGGTTGGGAAATTGCTGGAAACTGGGGGTGGAGCATGAGAAGGGTGGGGTTTGGAAAGGGGAGGGACCTCAGTGGGTATAATGCCATAGAGTCCCCCTCTCCAAAGCAGCCATTTTCTGCAAGAGAACTGTTCCCTGTCATTTGGGGTTCAGTTGTTCTTCTGGGAGATTTCCTAGAAGGAAATCACCTGTATATATTAACCAATGATTGTTAGTAAATAGACTCCAGTTTCCTGGGCTTTCTCCCCATTGGCTTTGTGCCAGGTTACCTTCCAGGTCAGTCTAAACAATAGCACAGAAGGTAAACACATTAACCCTATAATGACTGAATTTAGACCTTGCAACACGTGTTTTTCCAACACCCAGAAACCATGAAGATTTGGCCTATGATCTGCTGCCCATTTTCCTAAACTAACCCAATGAGAGGTCATGGTAAAGAGTGCCTGTGTCAGCCTCAGACTTAAGGCCTGGCCGTCGCTGCTGCAAATGCATGCCAGCGAGGGTTGCCAGCCTATTGGTGAGGCCTGGCATTCTTCTGGAATTAAAACTGATCTACACAGAGCAGCTGAGCTAGGGCTTCCAGGTCCCCCCCCCTTGCCACCAGTGGGGAATGGGTAGGGTTGCCAGATCCAAGCTGGAAAATTCCTGGAGATTTAGGGATGGATCCTGGGGGGGACAGGGACCTCAATGGGGTACAATGTCACTGAGTCCACCCTCCAAAGCATCCATTTTCTCCAGGGGAACCGATCTCTGTAGTCTGGAGGTGAGATGTAATTCCAGGGGATCCCCAGGTCCCACCTGGAGGCTGGCATCCCTATGCAGTTCCCCTAGAGGAAATAGCAGCTTCATAAGGCAGACTCTAGAGAGAAGAGAGAAGAGAAGAGATTGGATTTATACCCCACCTTTCACTGCCCAAAAGAGCCTCAGAATGGCTTACAATCTCCTTTCCCTTCCTCTCCCCACAACCTGTGAGGAGGTGGGGCTGAGAGAGCTCGGTGAGAATTGTTCTTGAGAGAAAGCTCTGAGAGAACTGGGACTGACCAAAGGTCACATCAGCAGCTGCATGTGGAGAAGTGGGGAATTAAACCCGGTTCTCCCAGATCAGAGTCCGTGCTCCTAACCACTACACCAATACTACCACAATAGGGCTTGCCAACTATGGGTTGGGAACTTTGGAGATTTGGGGGGTGCAGCCTGGGGAGGGTGTTATAATAACATAGAGTCCACCCTCCAAAGCAGCCATTTTCTTCTGGGACACTGATCTCTAGACTGGAGATCAGTTGTAATTCCAGGAGATCTCCAAACCCTACCTAGAAACAGGCAACCCTAAATCACAGCTCTGTGTAGCTCTCTTCTTTTCCCGAAGCCCACCCTCTCCCTAGGGTTGTCAAGTGTATCTTCGCCAGGGGCAGGGGGCTCCTGGCCAGCGTCTTGTGTGCGCGCGCGCCGCATGCACTTCACCCAGAAGTGACAGGAGGATGCCAGGCACGCTGGGGGTGGGGCCATGGCCATACAAGGGAAAACCATAGAGTTTTCCCTTGTATGGCTGTGGCCCCGCCCCCAGCATGCCCGGCGTGCCCACATCACTTCCTGGTGACGCGCATGCAGGGGTGGGGTTCCTCCCGGGGCCTGATTCTGCAGCATCGGAAATCGGGCCTCCAAAGCGGGGGTTTACCCGCCCCCCGCCCCCACTTGGCAGCCCTACCTCCCCCAGATCTTGAGGAATTTCCAAAGGCAGAGCTTGCAGTCCTCATGACAGCATCCAGTCAGTGCCAAGAACTGTTCCCATCATTAATTTTTCCCCAAAATACTTATATAACATCTTTCTTCACACATATGGACCATGCTCCTTAATTCTGTATTTTTAAAAAATTCTCTGCATTTTAAATCTTGAGAGCCTTTTAACTTAAGGAAAGATTTAATGCAATCTTGTTTAATTGGAATGCTACAATCTCTGTCCTCCGACTGCTGCGTTTTTAAGTGCCTTGAATCCAAGGAGATAAGGTGGGATAGAAATAATTTAAATAAATAAGTAAATAAACATAGTGAACCCTAGGTGGTATACAATAATAAATTCAACAGCATAAATACCAGCAGTCTAAAAAGAAAAATAAAGCAATTGATTCATATAAATTAAAAGCTCTTTATAACTCCAAATTTGTGGAACAATGGTTTCTGGTGTTAGATTACCTGATGTGCAATGATACATTGAAAGAAGCTGTGCATTCAAAGCTATGTTATAGTATATTAGTTCATTTTTGAACCTGTCAATATTATCAGCTTAATTATTTTTGCAATCTCTTTCCTTTGTTCAGTTCTTGGTAATTGTTGATTTCTAGGTTTACTTATAGAATGTATGATACATGTTTGACATTGTACGCTCGTTATTGCACAATAAAAAATTAATTTTTTGGTTTTTTTAAAAAAAGCTCCCTTAGACAGAACCCCTTTATATAAAGTAGGAAACTAACTAGGATTGCAAATTCTCGCTTGGAAAATACCTGGAAATTTGTGGATGCTGCCTGAAGCATTTGGGGAGGGAGCTTAATCGGGATGTGATATCACAGAGCAGGGAGAGCTTTTCTGGTGCCTCCCAAGTGTTTTTAGACAGTCCGTTGGAGCAGTTGGGGCTCTTGCCCAGCAAGGCTTCTGACTGGCCATTGGAGATTTGATTGGCTGGGCAGATTTTTCAGATGTTGCTCTGTTAGCAACTGCCACCACAGCACAAGAATCTACACTGTGTTACCAAAATTAAGCTGTGGCGATCATTTGGTGTTTGCTTCCATTTTGTGGCAGCCATTTTGTTGCTGCACGCACCATGCCATGTCAACGTTCCAAATGTGCCCACAGGCTCAAAAAAGTTGGGGACTCCTGCCACAGAGTTTGGCCACTGAAGCTGCCATTTGCTCCTCCAGGAGAACTGATCTCTGTAGTCTGGAGATCTGTGGTAATCCTGGGAGAACTCCAGATCTGGAGGGAGGCAACCCTACTTCCTACAGTGGTTCCATAGCTCTGGAGCGATAACTGAGAAACAGGGATGCCACTAACCTGCCTCCAGTGGGAAGGCTCCTGCCAACCCTTAATGGTCTCCCACTGCAGTGGGAGAAAATGGGGAGGGGGAAATGGCATTGTGCGACATGCAACATCACGTCTGGCAAAAAAAGAAAGTGATGTTGGTCGTGGTGACACTCTAGGAATCCAACCAAATCTCTATGGTAAAACCACAGAGTTGTTAGATTCCTAGAGTGCCACTGCAATGTGGTGATGTCACTTTCAGCTTTTTA